AGAACTCTGTATTCTATGTCTAGGAGTGTATTTTGCTGGAATGATCATAAATTGTAGCTGAACTGATAAACTACACAAAGGATACTTCTTTGCTCAGAAGGCAGGAAGACGTTTCCTTATTTGGTCTGTACCGGTTTGAACTGAGAACCTGCTGACACACGAACCTTTTTTTCCTCTATATAAACTGTTGTATACTGAATAAACCTTTGAGTTGATTGTGGGAGAGCAACCTGAAACAGTCTATGTATCACTTTGTTCTCCTAACTGCTCCCGGCGCTGTAACTAACCCGCTGAACGGCATACTTGAGCGTTACTTTGAATAATTAGGAATCTTATAAGGAAAGGACAAAACTCTGCTTATCGGTGATCACGCCTCGGAGGAAACCCGATCCACGGATGAACCCGGGACGGAGATTTCTTTCAGTTACTAAATGATATAACAATATTATACAGCTGTAATAAGTTACGTGTGTGATATTTATATTTGTGCTTTGTCTTTATTGTCTTTCCTCAGGAGAACAATCTCAAATAGATGAAGACCTGGTTAGCATGGTGATTGAGGACTCCCAGCCATTTAGCATTGTGGAGGACAAAGGATTCAAAAGATTTGTTAAATCATTAAATCCTAGCTATGTTCTCCCCACTAAAAAGGCCATAAAAGCAGTGAAAATTTAGTTTTTACAGAATAAAATGTGAACAGGCAGGACTGAGGTCTGTAGCTGTCCATACCTCAACGTTACAAAAGCACAACCACTGTCCACACCCCAACCACACCTCACCTCACAGTAAATGATCATTTCCATTTTAAGCATTTCCAAATGATCATTTTCCATACTGTCAGCATAAATATACACAGTACTGCCATCACTACAATATAGATGTTTTACACACTCCTTTTGTTGTTGACATTTACAGGCTGTGTGCAAAAGGCCACACTCTTCAAATTCATGCCAACTAATATTTTTACGTCCAGTAGGTGTCCTGCTAGAGCAAATGAAGCTTCAAGAAGCTTCGCGTTGGGGTGAACCAATTGGATGAAAAGCTTCAGTGCTTCATGAAGCTTCATCTGCCCATCACTACTAAACTGGGAGAAACTAAATGCTAAATACAAAAGACAAAGAACAAAACCTTGAATGTGGTAAAAACCTGAACGTGATAAACTCTGGAGACATGGAGGCATAGAAACATGACGAGAACAACAGACGACCTGACAAACTCTGAATGAGAAAACACAAACTAAATACACACAGGAGGGTAATGAGGAATGGGGAACAGGTGGGAACACAGCTGGGACAAATCAGACCTAACAAGGGGAAGCAAAACTAGACATACTGCACAGGACAGGGGACTTTCACAATAAAACAGGAAACATGACAACACAAAACTTGATAACATAAGACACACAAACATGAAACACATAAAGGGTGAGGTAAACTTCAATACAGGGGTAGAAAACACGAGGGGCATCTAATAAACAAGTGAACTTAGCTAACCTAATGAACTTAAACATCAACATCAAAATAAACTAGTAGCCAGTATGTAAATAGTAATGACTAACAATAGCTTTAAGCAAAGTGCCAATGCTTTAGGTTGCTTTCATAAAACAGTTTCTCACCAACTTTTTTCCACACCAAAAATGTTTCGAACAGACAAACACATGTTTCTGGCTATTTCTTGCGAGCAGAATACACGGGTACTTACATAATTGTTGTGCAGTTGGAGTGCTCTCTTCTTGACTTCCCCATTTGTATTGCATGTAAAATCGACCTACCTTTCTCTGATAGGACCCAACAATTAATAATTCATGTTTAAATTTAGATTTTATGTTTTGTGTAAGGAAATTCACAGTGTGGTTAAATAATCATTTCAGAAACACATGTCAACAATAAGTATGGAATGCAAGCGTCACTTTCTGTCTTCTAGAGCACGTAAAAAGTAAATATATTTCTAAAGGTGCTATTGACAAGAAATTCCCACCAAATGTCAGTAACAACCCATCCAATCCACGCACCCAAAGAAACCAAACCCTAGATATCTACCCTAGATATTTTACTGTATTTTCCCCACAAAAATAATGTACATAGTGTTCATCCCAACCAACACAAAGTTGCACATACCGTGGTCTACATATACAAACAACAGGAGAATGTACTGAATACTGTCGCAAAATCAATCAATGTAGAGCAGTGTCACAAACCACGGAAGCTCCAGAAAAGTGCAATCTAACTGTGAGTTTATTAACAGCCAGGAGAAAACATCAACATATGTCTTCTGACCAAAATTCATGTTGTGGACACTTATAAAGCAGTGGGGTACACGCCCCCCCATGGAGTCAATTACAGAGTACAATAGGTTCCAGACATTAGTCACAGTTAATGGTACATCTTGTACATCTTTAATGGCTATAAACAGACATAGAACTTCTCTTTTTTATAACACCTTCCATACAAGGTAATAAACTTCAAGCCCTCAGGGTCTCTGGGGCTAATTATTGACTCTGGTCATCTGTTGCCAAGTAGAGTAAAATATAGTGAGACACCAAATGAGTTAAGGCCTCAGGCCTGACACATTCCTAGATTATATGTGTTATATGTATTGTAAGCATGCATGCAATCATCCTTCTATGTTCTAATTTCCCTCAGCATGTATCACCTGGACAGTCACGCCAGTGAAGCTTAAAACCCTTAATGAACTGAACATCAACTCGAAATAAGCACAGATATGCAATGTGTATAAAATACTTCTAACCGTACTTGTAATAAAAGTTAACATAATGGAAGGATCCTCAAATGAACATCTTCAATAAACAACTGTAATGCAGTATCAATACTGTGAGAAATATTATTAGATGAAATAATGCTGTAAAGAATGTTATTAATGCAGTTATAATGATGCAGATTATATGGCAGCAATAAAAGAATTTCTGTATCTCCACAATACAGTTACAGTCAAAACAAAACAAAAATCTTAAGAAGTCTTTGCCCTCCCCTAGACAAGTACAGTTGTGTACAGAGAGACAGCCAGTTTCATAATGGATATAAGGAAGTTTTTTCAAAAAAAGGAGCCACATTCAGGTAAAAGTGTAAGATCAAATGATCCGTCAATCAAGAATAATGTTGGATCAGTGTTTCAATATTTATATGTTTTATTAGATGTTCATGTGGTTTGGTTATTTGCCTTTTGGTTGAAAGTACACTGAGAGAGAACTTTTTGTTAGTGATCTTAATAGTATTTTTTATATTAATGTAATTTTTCATCTAATTGAATACAATCTATTTGTGTATGATTGTCAGTCCAAAGAGGGAGAGAGGAAAGAGGGGAACGTGAGGAGAAAGTACAAGGTCAGGAAGAACCAGGTAAGAAAACAGACAGGGAACAGTGACAGGCACAACAGAAACTGTTAAAGTGACAAAGAGAAAAAAACTCTGATTTTACTTCACTATATTAAAGCTGCTATACAGAATCTGCAAAACAAACTGGGTTGAAACATTTTTGACCCTCTTTAACAACATTCCAACATAACATTATAATTGATTGGGGAGATTAAAATTAATGCTATATTTTTATGTGGTTCAGCCACAACTCTACTAAAACCTCAGCCAGTAATAGGTAGGCCAACTTTTGGACCGTCCAGTTGTCTGTATGACTGCCGCAGTACGTACATCACATTTGCACACTATCAGAAAGTGCCAAACAGCCCTGGTGGAGTGAGGAGCTGTAAAGAGAAGCAGAGTGCTCTGTTTCTAAAAATGCTTTAAGCTTGTTTCAAAGATTCTGTACAGCAGCTTTAAATGTTTTCCAAAAGCACACATACACTTCTCAGTGTTTCTCAAACTTTTTACAGTGTGTACCACCTGATAAAAATGTCAAGCTCTCCCAAGTACCACTATGAAAGCATGAAAGTCATAAATCTTACAGCACAAAATTAGTATATTAAAATAGACTTAGACTGTCTTAAAAGCAGTCTAAGGGGGGCACATTTGTATAGCTCCTGGCTGCAACAATAAGTTTTCTATTAAAAAAACTAAATAAAAAGAGAGCTTGAATGAGTCACTGACTGTCTGATTACACCCTAAAATTAGAAGAATTATATGGCAAGTTGTAATTGTCAAATAGAGTGATGATTCAGCTTATAAGTTTCAAATGATTGAAAATAAAATTGTAAACAAAGAAACCAAGAATCTTCCGTTTGTAACAGCTCTATTTAATGTGTACTATTTAAAAATATATCAGAGATAACATAAATACAGCAAAAAATCTGAACCTTCAGTATAAAACTAGCTGTGCAGGAACGATCTAGAAAGGGTGGTCCATGCTTTTATTACATCACGGCTGGACTACTGTAACTCCCTTTATGCTGGTTTAGATCGTTCCTGTCTGCATCGCCTCCACCTGGTGCAGAACGCTGCTGCTCGCATGCTGACTGGTTCCAAAAAGAGAGACCACATCACTCCGGTCCTCTGCTCTCTCCACTGGCTCCCAGTTGCTTTTAGGATTGATTTTAAAATTTTACTGCTAGTTTTTAAGGTTCTTAACGGTACTGCACCTCCTTACCTGGCAGAGCTTCTTAGCATTTACAGCCCCAGGAGATCTTTGAGGTCAGCAGACCTGATGTTTTTAGATGTTCCCAGGTACAGATTAAAGACTAGGGGAGAGAGGGCTTTTGCTGTGGCTACACCCAGACTGTGGAACAGTTTACCTCCTCACATCAGATTCTCCACAAGCCTTGGAACTTTTAAAACTGCTCTTAAAACTCACCTCTTCTCATTGGCTTTTAGCAAGGTTTAACTTACTGTTTTAACTTATTGTTTTATCAGTGAGGTGTTTTATGTACTTGCGTTTTATTGTATTTTATATTTGTATTTTATTGTACAGCACTTTGGTCAACCTTGGTAGTTTTTAAATGTGCTTTATAAATAAACTTGACTTGACTTGACTTGAAAAAAGTAGTACTCTGTAAATTGGCATAAAGTTTTTACCTTTAAAAAAACAAACAAAACAAACAGCTGGTTACCTTACAGAGCAAGCTACCTGTGCTCTTAGATCTCATTGGCTGTAGTAAAATTAAATAAACAAAAAGATTTTGGCATATTCCCAAACTCAGTTCAGAGTATTCAAAAAATATGCAAACATATTTTCTGTATTTTTATTTGCTTTAGGAATACATTACATTCACCAATACAGTATTTTGATAGGTCAAACCCACAACTTCCCTGAATGACAGATAAAAATAGCAATGGCAGTTTTATTTCAGGCACTTCAAAGTTGTTTATTTCTTCCCTACTGATACAAAATAGATTCAGAAAACAGTGCAGCAAGGAAACAACATCATTCCTCAGCCTCAAAAAAGAAATTTGAGGATGGCTGAAGATACCAGCAGAACGATGGCACTGGGACCAGTTGGAATAGCGCTGTTACACAGGTCCCCTTTACAGCAAGTGACAGGCGCACCACAGTATTCACTGGGCAGGCAGCCCTTAGTTACATTAAGAGCTGTAAGAAATGAGGGGAAAATTCTCAAAAAGAACTTCACAAAACATGATGTGACAAAGAGCCAGCAGACATTCAGCATTTGTGTTTATTTTTAGATAGAACTTCTGATATGAGATAACAACTCACCGTTTACTTTAAAAGTGACACAACGGTCGAAGCCAACAGGACAAGTTATGGTGTCTATGCAGGATTTAGGATCTGAATAGATGCATGTGTAGCATCTTAATCCACATGCTATAGAAACAAAAAGAACACAATTTTACACACATTAGAAATTATTTTGAGCTTTTTATGCCCTTTGAGAGAGTTGCCAGAAATTGGGTCATATATAACAAGTGAAATCTTAAGAAGTCTTCTCAGTCTGTAAAATATTCCTCTACTGACCACAAAATAATTAAATATGTTTGTATTTTTTAAGCCTGTTTTCTTAACCAGGAAATGACTCTTTTAAAGTCTGATGTATTCCACATATCTTTAAAACCACAAACGCTTATTTTTAAAATTAAAGTCTCAATGATTAAATAAAAAATATATAAAGTGTTCATTTCTGTTTCATCACAGGCTGTTTATGTAACTCAGTATTGAATTGCTAAACTATTTAACTTTTTACCTTTAAACATCAATACATTTTTTCTTACCTGCAGACAGAGTCACACTCAGGATCAGAGCTCCATAGAGCTGCATCATGAACTCAAATTGCTGATCAGTCTCGTGAGAGAAAAAGCTGCTGCTAATCTTTTCTTTCTCAGCTCAACTTTCGTTTTTGCTTTCAGAACCTGAGCTTTTGTATCTCTTCAAAGAGCCTCCTACCAAGTGATCCATATAACCGCGCCCCCTGAAGTGACAATATGGTCAGTTATTATAAGTCATAGCCAAAGGACAGAAGAGTTTCTCATATAATTTAATAACAATAAATAATAACTTAAATTTATATAGCGCTTTTCAAGGGAATCCAAAATTGTTTTACATTTAAAAACTGATTCATGGACGCTTTAAAACTGGACAGTAGTGTAAGTGTGAAGTTTATGCATTCTCCACAAGAACCAATTTTTGATTCCTATACTTCAAGTGCTGAGCCTTTCTTTCTTAGCTCAACTTCCTAATCTTCTTTCAGAACCTGAGCATTTGCATCTCTTCAAAAAGCCTCCTACCAAGTGCCCAAATAACCACACCCTGTTAAATGTCAGCACTGTCAGACTATCCATTTATAAAAAGGAAGACAGAGTATAACATTGCCTCAAATATAATTTTATCAGATTTTTTATGGTCCTTTATATTTCACAAGGTCAATAAGTTGTTCAATAAAGAAGATCTGTAATGACACATCTGTGCTGCTTCCTGGTTCAAGGTTCAAGGGTTCAAGGTTCTTTATTTGTCACATGCATAGTTATACAAGTATA